AGAATAGTCTGATAAGACTACAAACCGGATTTGAGTAACGTAGCACTTCCGGTTTTCGAGAAATCACGAATTTCAAACGAAACCACATAAAATCTCCGAAGTTCTCAATTAATTAAATACATTTTTGGTGAACATTTGGTTCACTGGTTTGCTAGTATTGTATAATAGTGGCCCTACCTCGCTTCGCTTCGGGGTAGAGTTGATCAAAATCCTTTCTTAGCGGATGCCTACGTCATAACATCTACCTGCATGCCTAATTTCAGCCCGATCCGTCCAGTGGTTTGGGCTGTGCGTTGATAGATCACTATGTTAGTCAGTCAGTCAGTCCCCCTTGAGTTTTATATATGTAGATGTCGTGCGGGTGCAGTGTCAGTGTACATACTTGAGGTCTCGGTCCTCCTCGTCGTAGTCGTCGAGGTAGAGCGAGCCCCACAGGCAGGCTCGTCGGCCGCGGATCACGATGATGTAGGTGGAGGTCACCACCAGGAATATGCCGGTGCCCCCGCCGCATTCCATCGCGTGCTGTTGCCGGACAACACGACACGTTATATCACAACTAACAGTTCCATTATCGGTCATTTACATTTTAAGGTGAGCGGGGAAGGGGGGGGGGAGTGGCAACGAAGAAGTGGAAGCCCCACTCCACAGTAAATTTGGGCCGGACACATACTATTTTTAAACCCCCCCCCCTTATGGCTTAGGGACCGAAATTCTCGTGTCTTTTGAAGTGAAACTTCTTTTAGGACGGGGTGTAAACATGAAAATCCTGTGGAAAAATTAAACGGTAATGCGTCAGGTTTTTAGTTTAAGGTTATATATATATATATATATATATATATATATATATATGTTTGTGTGTGTGTGGGATGCGTGCGCAGCTCTTCCCGATGAGCATGAAAGTTGGAGGGTAACTCAGCGAAGGCTGAAACGCTACAAGCGTTACGAGCGCCACACGCAACAATATATATGCGTCATGCGTGCGTTGCTCCATTCCCCTATGCCTTATGCACCGCCTAATGTTAGGTTATTTAAGAAAAGAAGTTTCACTTCAGATGTGTGGTCCGTACACACAATTTTATTATTTAACTCTGTTATGGCGGCCTTAGATCCGACCTTAGTCATTTGCTTATTAATGTTGCCACTGCTAGGGGACATGACATATAAGAGAAAGAACATATTAGACAAACTTAATGACAGAAAATCCTCAGTTTATTTTTTTTGTATAGATAAAAAAAAACATGATATTTTACGCACAAGTTCCATCAAAATGTTTAATGTCTCTGTTGCACTTTTTAAGAGCGGTAGGGCACAGCAGATTCTTCTCTTGAATTGGATCGTTAGCTGGTGAAGTAAACTCCACCTTACAAAGATCATAGTAAAAAAAACCTTACCTTATTGTGGTGTTGTGTTTCTATCGGTAAATATGGTGAATGGTGAATAGGGATGCATGTGGTGGGGGATTGGATCAGAGTAAGCAACGGTGCCACCGTTTCATCATAAGAAACAAGTACATAAGTTGCTTAACCCATATTGTGAGAAAATAATAATAATTATACGTATCAATAATCCCGTTAAAAACTTGAACGACTCGATGAATAGTCGAGTAACGAGGGTGCCGCACAGCAGACAGACGGAGGCCTCCTCGGATCAATATATGAGTGCCCCACCTGCACCGCCTCGGCGACCTGGTGCTGCCGGCAGCAGGCCTGCTTGAGGCACACGAGGGTGCCGCACAGCAGACAGACGGAGGCCTCCTCGGATCAATATATGAGTGCCCCACCTGCACCGCCTCGGCGACCTGGTGCTGCCGGCAGCAGGCCTGCTTGAGGCACACGAGGGTGCCGCACAGCAGACAGACGGAGGCCTCCTCGGATCAATATATGAGTGCCCCACCTGCACCGCCTCGGCGACCTGGTGCTGCCGGCAGCAGGCCTGCTTGAGGCACACGAGGGTGCCGCACAGCAGACAGACGGAGGCCTCCTTGGGCACGGCGCCGCACTGGGTGCAGACCCGCTCGTGGTAGTACGTGAACAGCCGGTCGTAGTCGCGGGGCAGCGCCAGCAGCGCCGGCTGGGCCCAGCGCACGTGCAGCCCGCGTAGGAGGCGACGGACCTGCGGATCGATCCGTGGTCTTGTATTCATGTGCCAAATAAAATAATTATATCAAATTATGGTAGTACAAAAGTTCATGTGCTGAAAGAGAATTGAAAAAAACATTTCAAAAAATCAATTTTTTCGTCAAAAACTGTTTGTTACTTTCAACTTTGAATAACTCAAAAAATATTAGTTTTACGAAAAAAACGTATATAACATTTTTTTGTAGAATTATTTCTTCCGTCGATTTCTACAGTTAAAATGTAATAAAAAATTTCCACCCCGAGATGGGGTGGCAACTACCCCCAAGGCGCTAGCGTGCAGGGGCATGATATAGAAAATGATCCTTGAGCTATTCCCTACCTTCTGTGAAAATTTCAAGTAAATCCATGGTGGATGAAAAAATTGCGAGCCAAAATGCTTCATTTCCTGGACAACAGTGCGGAGTGGTAGGTGCTAACGATTGCATATGCAGCTGGGACCAGCGGCCAAACGTGCCTTCCGAAGCACGGAGGAGCTCGAGATAGTAAATATTTGGTCATCCATCCAATGATCGACCACTGCGAAAGTTGCTTAACTTCAAAGGTCGCAGATAAACGTGCTTACCACCTGAGCCATCGAGCTCCGCAGTCGAGTCAAATTGTCCATTGTAGGTAAAACACAAAAGCAAACCTTACGGCGCGATTTGCGTTGGCAGTTGGCAACAACGGTTTAACGTGCTTTCCGAAACACGATAGAGTTCGAAATGAGCTTTTTGGTTATCCATCCAATGAAAATTGTTTTTATTTTTTAATTTAAACTATAGCAGACTGACCACGTGCGTGAGTTCTTATTTAGACACATTGTATTTCTTGTTAATTATATCTAGTTGTTTATGCAAAGGACTGATTTTTATACGATTACTTTTAATTTAAAGAAAATATTACTAGAAAAAAAACCATGCGGCCCAGGCAGCAGACAGGAATCGAACCCGCACCCTTCGCTATCCGGGCGAATGCCCTGATCATTATGCTACCGCGGCCCTGAAGGCCGTGTCGAATTCTTTCTAGCGTTTCTTCAGCTGCAAGGCAGCGCCATCTCTTCGCATTGTAGGTAACCCACAATGACAAATGAATACCTTTATAAGTATTAAACATTTGAAAGAAGGAATAACAATTATAGTCGTAATTTTTTCTTAAGATTTAATCACCGAGCAGTTACATGCTTATAAAATAAAAAAATATTACTATTTTTAATTTGTTTAAGTAGGAATATGTGTTCCGTTCGACTACATTTTTCGTCACCAACTCCAGCATCACCACTGTTCCCCTATATTGATGTCACTCACCACGAGCTGCCCCCGGGCGGCCGCGGCGCCGAGCTGTCGCGCCCAGCCCCTGGCGGCATGCTGGTGGGCGGGCAGTAACCCCTGCGTCACATCCCAATCTTGTTCGCCTCCACCCTGAATCAGTTCCAGGAAGCACGCCAGCTGACCGAACTCCTGGGCGGGAGACTCGATGTCGGGCAACACCGCCCCGTACAAGTGGTGCCGCAGCAACGCGGCGATACGCATGAACGGTAGCAGCAACTCCTGTAACGTAAATATATGAATGTTATATTAATCACAGATCGACTTCTGAATGTCTTATTTTATACCTGCATTATATATACATAAATTGGGAATCAATCAAATGTTACTCTAGTATCTCATAACACAAGTCCTACAGTGCTTACTTTGGGGCTAGGCTAATGAGGGCTATCGCGTATGAATCCGCCGCTAGAGGCGCTAGTGTAGCGTGAAGTCTCCGAAATGTCAAATGTTATTGCTTGTTGGTTGACTACGCGGGTTTATTTCTTATTAAAATAATGTTGTGAATAATTGGTAACAATTCGGCTTAATTATGGCAAATATGAGTTATTTGGCAATGAATGTCAGTTATTAAAAATTTGAGCTTAGAGAAACGATTATGTTCCCATTTTTTCCCACTAAAACGGAACTGCGCGTCACTGTGCAGCTGTGGCATGGCCTATTATGTTTAGGATATTGTTCTTTTGTGTTAAAATACGATCCAAATGTAACCTTTGATTTCATGTGCGTATTAATAAACTTTAAAAGTTACAATTCCTAAATTGTTCCTCACTCAACAGTGGCGCCATTTGGTGAGACAGAAAACGGTAGCCCTCATTGCTGTGTGTTGGAAATATTGCGGACCGGCGCCGGTACTATACCTGCGTGTGCGGCGTGAGCTGTAGGGCGGGCGGGGCGCGGCCGAGGGCGGGCCCGTCCTCCGTGAACAGCTCGGAGCCGGCCAGCGCGCCCAGCAGGAGGCGGGCCGCGGCCCGGGGCCCGTCCCCCGCGCCGGCCCCCAGTGCGGCCCTGCCTTCGGCGTCGGTGCTGGCGATGAACTGGCACACTATCTGATAGTACGTCAGCGTGTACAACGCCCGCACCATGTATGTGAAGTGTTCTGAAAATAAGCATCGATATTCAAATATAGTTCGCGTGGCTTTAAATATTTGTAATTGTAGCCAACAGTCTCTCTTTCACATTTTATAGAGTATGATAAGAACAACTTACACTCCAGGTGCAACAAATCGCACCTTTATTCCAATACTATCATTATCATAAAATAAAATTAAAATACAGGATTTGAAGTAATGTGTAGATTCATAACGTAGCAAATAGATGGCGTTGTAAACTATTTTTTGAAGAATTTTGTTTAATGATAGTATTAGAATAAAGGTGCGAAATGTTTAATTTGACACAAATTTCATACATTTAATTAAAACGTCAAGGTAAAAAGTTGCACTCAGAGTGTAGGTTTAGAATGCAGCCTTGAAGTGACAGGATGATTGATAGGAGCTAATACGGCCAAAATGCTATCTGTAAAGTTGTTTCTGTCTGTTTTACGTTTTGTTTTCCTTTGTTATAAGCTATAGTATGTGTGTGTCGGGGCGGCACGTACGCGGCTCCAGGTGCAGCGGGTGCGCGGGCGCCAGCAGCAGCAGCTGCAGCAGCAGGGCGGCGGGGTCGCGCAGCAGCAGCGGCACGGGGCGGGCGGAGGGCGCGGGCGCGTGTGTGTGTGTGTGTGTGTGTGTGTGTGTGTGTGTGTGTGTGTGTGTGTGTGTCGGGGCGGCACGTACGCGGCTCCAGGTGCGGCGGGTGCGCGGGCGCCAGCAGCAGCAGCTGCAGCAGCAGGGCGGCGGGGTCGCGCAGCAGCAGCGGCACGGGGCGGGCGGAGGGCGCGGGCGCGTGTGTGTGTGTGTGTGTGTGTGTGTGTGTGTGTGTGTGTGTGTGTGTGTGTGTGTGTGTGTGTGTGTGTGTGTGTGTGTGTGTCGGGGCGGCACGTACGCGGCTCCAGGTGCGGCGGGTGCGCGGGCGCCAGCAGCAGCAGCTGCAGCAGCAGGGCGGCGGGGTCGCGCAGCAGCAGCGGCACGGGGCGGGCGGAGGGCGCGGGCGCGTGTGTGTGTGTGTGTGTGTGTGTGTGTGTGTGTGTGTGTGTGTGTGTGTCGGGGCGGCACGTACGCGGCTCCAGGTGCGGCGGGTGGCGCGGGCGCCAGCAGCAGCAGCTGCAGCAGCAGGGCGGCGGGGTCGCGCAGCAGCAGCGGCACGGGGCGGGCGGAGGGCGCGGGCGCGTGTGTGTGTGTGTGTGTGTGTGTGTGTGTGTGTGTGTGTGTGTGTGTGTGTGTGTCGGGGCGGCACGTACGCGGCTCCAGGTGCGGCGGGTGCGCGGGCGCCAGCAGCAGCAGCTGCAGCAGCAGGGCGGCGGGGTCGCGCAGCAGCAGCGGCACGGGGCGGGCGGAGGGCGCGGGCGCGTGTGTGTGTGTGTGTGTGTGTGTGTGTGTGTGTGTGTGTGTGTGTGTGTGTGTTCGGCGGGGCGGGGTGCGGGGGCCGCGGCGGCACCTGGCAGTGGGCGCGGCGCGCGGCGGCTCGCCGCGGCGGCGGCAGGGCACGGGCGCGGCGTGGGGTGTGTGTGTGTGTGTGTGTGTGTGTGTGTGTGTGTGTGTGTGTGTGTGTCGGGGCGGCACGTACGCGGCTCCAGGTGCGCGGGTGCGCGGGCGCCAGCAGCAGCAGCTGCAGCAGCAGGGCGGCGGGGTCGCGCAGCAGCAGCGGCACGGGGCGGGCGGAGGGCGCGGGCGCGTGTGTGTGTGTGTGTGTGTGTGTGTGTGTGTGTGTGTGTGTGTGTGTGTCGGGGCGGCACGTACGCGGCTCCAGGTGCGGGGGTGCGCGGGCGCCAGCAGCAGCAGCTGCAGCAGCAGGGCGGCGGGGTCGCGCAGCAGCAGCGGCACGGGGCGGGCGGAGGGCGCGGGCGCGTGTGTGTGTGTGTGTGTGTGTGTGTGTGTGTGTGTGTGTGTGTGTGTGTGTCGGGGCGGCACGTACGCGGCTCCAGGTGCGGCGGGTGCGCGGGCGCCAGCAGCAGCAGCTGCAGCAGCAGGGCGGCGGGGTCGCGCAGCAGCAGCGGCACGGGGCGGGCGGAGGGCGCGGGCGCGTGTGTGTGTGTGTGTGTGTGTGTGTGTGTGTGTGTGTGTGTGTGTGTGTCGGGGCGGCACGTACGCGGCTCCAGGTGCGACGGGTGCGCGGGCGCCAGCAGCAGCAGCTGCAGCAGCAGGGCGGGCGGAGGGCGCGGGCGCGTGTGTGTGTGTGTGTGTGTGTGTGTGTGTGTGTGTGTGTGTGTGTGTGTGTCGGGGCGGCACGTACGCGGCTCCAGGTGCGACGGGTGCGCGGGCGCCAGCAGCAGCAGCTGCAGCAGCAGGGCGGCGGGGTCGCGCAGCAGCAGCGGCACGGGGCGGGCGGAGGGCGCGGGCGTGTGTGTGTGTGTGTGTGTGTGTGTGTGTGTGTGTGTGTGTGTCGGGGCGGCACGTACGCGGCTCGAGGGGCGGCGGGTGCGCGGGCGCCAGCCGCAGCAGCTGCAGCGGCAGCGGCGGCGGGGGGCGCGCAGCAGCAGCGGCACGGGGCGGGCGGAGGGCGCGGGCGCGTGTGTGTGTGTGTGTGTGTGTGTGTGTGTGTGTGTGTGTGTGTGTCGGGGCGGCACGTACGCGGCTCCAGGTGCGGCGGGTGCGCGGGCGCCAGCAGCAGCAGCTGCAGCAGTCAGGCGGTGGGGTCGCGCCGCAGCAGCGGCACGGGGCGGGCGGAGGGCGCGGGCGCGTGTGTGTGTGTGTGTGTGTGTGTGTGTGTGTGTGTGTGTGTGTCGGGGCGGCACGTACGCGGCTCCAGGTGCGACGGGTGCGCGGCACGTACGCGGCTCCAGGTGCGACGGGTGCGCGGGCGCCAGCAGCAGCAGCTGCAGCAGCAGGGCGGCGGGGTCGCGCAGCAGCAGCGGCACGGGGCGGGCGGAGGGCGCGGGCGGTGTGTGTGTGTGTGTGTGTGTGTGTGTGTGTGTGTGTGTGTGTGTGTGTGTCGGGGCGGCACGTACGCGGCTCCAGGTGCGGGTGCGCGGGCGCCAGCAGCAGCAGCTGCAGCAGCAGGGCGGCGGGGTCGCGCAGCAGCAGCGGCACGGGGGGGCGGAGGGCGCGGGCGCGTGTGTGTGTGTGTGTGTGTGTGTGTGTGTGTGTGTGTGTCGGGGCGGCACGTACGCGGCTCCAGGTGCGGCGGGTGCGCGGGCGCCAGCAGCAGCAGCTGCAGCAGCAGGGCGGCGGGGTCGCGCAGCAGCAGCGGCACGGGGCGGGCGGAGGGCGCGGGCGCGTGTGTGTGTGTGTGTGTGTGTGTGTGTGTGTGTGTGTGTGTGTGTCGGGGCGGCACGTACGCGGCTCCAGGTGCGACGGGTGCGCGGGCGCCAGCAGCAGCAGCTGCAGCAGCAGGGCGGCGGGGTCGCGCAGCAGCAGCGGCACGGGGCGGGCGGAGGGCGCGGGCGCGTGTGTGTGTGTGTGTGTGTGTGTGTGTGTGTGTGTGTGTGTGTGTGTCGGGGCGGCACGTACGCGGCTCCAGGTGCGACGGGTGCGCGGGCGCCAGCAGCAGCAGCTGCAGCAGCAGGGCGGCGGGGTCGCGCAGCAGCAGCGGCACGGGGCGGGCGGAGGGCGCGGGCGCGTGTGTGTGTGTGTGTGTGTGTGTGTGTGTGTGTGTGTGTGTGTGTGTGTGTCGGGGCGGCACGTACGCGGCTCCAGGTGCGGCGGGTGCGCGGGCGCCAGCAGCAGCAGCTGCAGCAGCAGGGCGGCGGGGTCGCGCAGCAGCAGCGGCACGGGGCGGGCGGAGGGCGCGGGCGCGTGTGTGTGTGTGTGTGTGTGTGTGTGTGTGTGTGTGTCGGGGCGGCACGTACGCGGCTCCAGGTGCGGCGGGTGCGCGGGCGCCAGCAGCAGCAGCTGCAGCAGCAGGGCGGCGGGGTCGCGCAGCAGCAGCGGCACGGGGCGGGCGGAGGGCGCGGGCGCGTGTGTGTGTGTGTGTGTGTGTGTGTGTGTGTGTGTGTGTGTGTGTCGGGGCGGCACGTACGCGGCTCCAGGTGCGACGGGTGCGCGGGCGCCAGCAGCAGCAGCTGCAGCAGCAGGGCGGCGGGGTCGCGCAGCAGCAGCGGCACGGGGCGGGCGGAGGGCGCGGGCGCGTGTGTGTGTGTGTGTGTGTGTGTGTGTGTGTGTGTGTGTGTGTGTGTGTCGGGGCGGCACGTACGCGGCTCCAGGTGCGGCGGGTGCGCGGGCGCCAGCAGCAGCAGCTGCAGCAGCAGGGCGGCGGGGTCGCGCAGCAGCAGCGGCACGGGGCGGGCGGAGGGCGCGGGCGCGTGTGTGTGTGTGTGTGTGTGTGTGTGTGTGTGTGTGTGTGTGTGTGTGTCGGGGCGGCACGTACGCGGCTCCAGGTGCGGCGGGGTGCGCGGGCGCCAGCAGCAGCAGCTGCAGCAGCAGGGCGGCGGGGTCGCGCAGCAGCAGCGGCACGGGGCGGGCGGAGGGCGCGGGCGCGTGTGTGTGTGTGGTGTGTGTGTGTGTGTGTGTGTGTGTGTGTGTGTCGGGGCGGCACGTACGCGGCTCCAGGTGCGGCGGGTGCGCGGGCGCCAGCAGCAGCAGCTGCAGCAGCAGGGCGGCGGGGTCGCGCAGCAGCAGCGGCACGGGGCGGGCGGAGGGCGCGGGCGCGTGTGTGTGTGTGTGTGTGTGTGTGTGTGTGTGTGTGTCGGGGCGGCACGTACGCGGCTCCAGGTGCGGCGGGTGCGCGGGCGCCAGCAGCAGCAGCTGCAGCAGCAGGGCGGCGGGGTCGCGCAGCAGCAGCGGCACGGGGCGGGCGGAGGGCGCGGGCGCGTGTGTGTGTGTGTGTGTGTGTGTGTGTGTGTGTGTGTGTGTGTGTGTCGGGGCGGCACGTACGCGGCTCCAGGTGCGGCGGGTGCGCGGGCGCCAGCAGCAGCAGCTGCAGCAGCAGGGCGGCGGGGTCGCGCAGCAGCAGCGGCACGGGGCGGGCGGAGGGCGCGGGCGCGTGTGTGTGTGTGTGTGTGTGTGTGTGTGTGTGTGTGTCGGGGCGGCACGTACGCGGCTCCAGGTGCGGCGGGTGCGCGGGCGCCAGCAGCAGCAGCTGCCTGAGCAGGGCGGGGGGGGTCGCGCAGCAGCAGCGGCACGGGGCGGGCGGAGGGCGCGGGCGCGTGTGTGTGTGTGTGTGTGTGTGTGTGTGTGTGTGTGTGTGTGTGTGTGTCGGGGCGGCACGTACGCGGCTCCAGGTGCGGCGGGTGCGCGGGCGCCAGCAGCAGCAGCTGCAGCAGCAGGGCGGGGGGTCGCGCAGCAGCAGCGGCACGGGGCGGGCGGAGGGCGCGGGCGCGTGTGTGTGTGTGTGTGTGTGTGTGTGTGTGTGTGTGGTCGGGGCGGCACGTACGCGGCTCCAGGTGCGGCGGGTGCGCGGGCGCCAGCAGCAGCAGCTGCAGCAGCAGGGCGGCGGGGTCGCGCAGCAGCAGCGGCACGGGGCGGGCGGAGGGCGCGGGCGCGTGTGTGTGTGTGTGTGTGTGTGTGTGTGTGTGTGTGTGTGTGTGTGTGTGGGGGCGGCACGTACGCGGCTCCAGGTGCGGCGGGTGCGCGGGCGCCAGCAGCAGCAGCTGCAGCAGCAGGGCGGCGGGGGCGCGCAGCAGCAGCGGCACGGGGCGGGCGGAGGGCGCGGGCGCGTGTGTGTGTGTGTGTGTGTGTGTGTGTGTGTGTGTGTCGGGGCGGCACGTACGCGGCTCCAGGTGCGGCGGGTGCGCGGGCGCCAGCAGCAGCAGCTGCAGCAGCAGGGCGGCGGGGTCGCGCAGCAGCAGCGGCACGGGGCGGGCGGAGGGCGCGGGCGCGTGTGTGTGTGTGTGTGTGTGTGTGTGTGTGTGTGTGTGTGTGTGTGTGTCGGGGCGGCACGTACGCGGCTCCAGGTGCGGCGGGTGCGCGGGCGCCAGCAGCAGCAGCTGCAGCAGCAGGGCGGCGGGGTCGCGCAGCAGCAGCGGCACGGGGCGGGCGGGGGCGCGGGCGCGTGTGTGTGTGTGTGGTGTGTGTGTGTGTGTGTGTGTGTCGGGGCGGCACGTACGCGGCTCCAGGTGCGGCGGGTGCGCGGGCGCCAGCAGCAGCAGCTGCAGCAGCAGGGCGGCGGGGTCGCGCAGCAGCAGCGGCACGGGGCGGGCGGAGGGCGCGGGCGCGGGCACGGGCGGCCCCCCTCCCCCGCTGCCCCCCGGGCCCGCGTCGTCATCGCGCGGCACTAGCATCGTCCACATGTCGGCCACGCCGAAGTCTGCGCCGGCCGCTTCTAGCGCGCGCACGTGCGTGCCGGCGACGACCATCAAAGGAACTACGCACGAAACGATTTATTGTTACACAACGAGTCCCCTGCGACTTCACCAGCATTAATTTGAGGAAAAAGGCTCAAATGGGTCACCGTTAAATGATAGATATAATGATTTATTTGAAATTAAATGTAATGTATTTTCCCAATTTTGCAACATTTTTCATTGTTGATTTGCTCCTGTTAGTCATAGCGTTATGTTATAAAGCCTATAATAGTCTTCCTCGATAGATGCACTATTCAACACAATAAACATATCAAATCGAATCGGCTAAGATAAGCGCTTTTAAATTAACAAAGTAAATTATTCTTTTGAATTAAAATGTTCTATGTATCGAAAATATTACTAGAAAATATTCCACGCGAACCAGGCAGCAGACGGGACCCTTCGCAATCCGGGCGAATGCATTGATCAATTATGCTATCGCGGCCCTCACGGACCGCGTCGAAATTCCTCTAGCTATTCTTAAGCTGCAAGGCAGTTATATTTTCTTTAGATTTCAACATCAAGCAGTTACATGCTTTTAAAAAAATATATATGTTCTATTTATTTTTATTTTTGTAAGAAGTGTGTAAAATGTGTATACGGACCTATACAATCATTGCGTGGCTTATATCTCGGCGGTGGCTGCGACACGAGTGTTCCACCCCGTTGCACCAGTTCGCACTCTAGATTGGTGCGTACTAGCGACGCCACAAACGTGAATATAGCTGCGGGTGAGGTGCCGTATCGCTGCCGGAGCTTGGTGCCCGCCATCGCGCTCATGTCTTCCATTGCTTTGCCCATCGCTTCTGATAGGCGAGTTGGACTCTGCTGTACACAGAAAATTGATAAAATTTCGAACATATACTCGTATACTAGAATTCATTCGTAATATAAATAAAAAGAATGGACAATAAATTGTCTAATAATCCGTCTTAAATTTTAATAGTTTTGTTTTGTATCTGTGTAATATAAGACCAGGCATTTAAGTTTTGAGACTTATAAAAGTGTGTACAATTTTGAGGGCGTAGTTTTTTTAAACTCGTTAGTAATATCAGTATATACAGTCGGGCAACGAATATGTCTAGACAGAGCAATCGTGCGGGGTTTGCAGGGCAAGGGAGGGGGGCAGTGAACCCCAAATCCCATAAAATGACTCCGAAACGACGCTCAGGAGTATCATATTTTGAGAGACGTGTTAAATAAAGTACTAGTTTCTGTTTTAATAATGGTCCATACTACAGGTGTCTTAAATGACTGTGTTGACACACATACATCTTGTATAAATAAGAATTTAAAATTTATAAGTTTCCGTGCACAGTAGAAAAATAAAGAATTTAGTTGCTTGAATATACAAACAAAATGTCGAACTTTTACACGCGACTGTTAAATAAATCAACCAGTAAACAATTTTTATGTAAATGTTGTAAAGGAAAATTTTATTTTCCTCATAAAAAGATGATTATGTTTAACATTAACTAAAGATTTAAATAAATAACACCTAGGTATTTCGAGAGCAAAGATGGCGGACTCACATGGTTATTAAAACCACGGCCAGACTATTGTACACAAGCCCTCGACATCAATCTCCACCGATGATTTACAACAGTGGAAACGCTTGCTTGCAACAAGAATTCGTTTGACCTTCAAGAACCTTTGTGGACATGTATACACACACACTTACCGGTGGCGGGGCGGGGTCGCCGCGCAGGCGGCGCAGGTCAGCGAGGGGCGCGGCGGGGGAGGCGGCAGGGGAGACGGGGGAGGGGGGCAGGCGCGGAGGGCGCGGCAGCACGGTGTTGGCCAGCTGGCGGCACACGGGGCACAGGAACTCGCCGCGGTCCACGTGCAGGTTGTGCGGCCGCTGCGGGGCGGCGAGGGAGCGCAGGTACAGCTGCAGGCAGCGCAGGTGCAGGTGGTGCCCGCACGACTGCACGTGCACGCCGCCCTCCCAGCCCACGTTCACGCTCAGCAGCCACGACTCCTGACAGGGGGCGGGAGATGACCGATTACTGCTTATATATTATTAACAAAGGCATCCGGCTCGAAGGACCGGTTTGTTTTCTTCCTTAGTCCTAATATCATTATGCCGTGTATACTGACTTCTCGAAGGCGTTCGACAAAATTAATCATTCATCATCTTTATTATTAAAAAAGCTTTTCGGGGTCGGTATACATGGCGATCTGCTAAGATGGATCGAGTCATATGTCAGAAATCGTAGTCAAGCTGTTGCACTCAAGGGTTACCGATCGAGATTCTTAAATATTCCCTCAGGAATTCCGCAAGGGTCCCACCTGGGACCATTTTTATTTTGTCTTTATGTCAACGATATCAGCCGTTGCTTTACTAGCTCTCACTTTCTCATGTACGCTGACGATACAAAAATTTATAAAATAGTGCAAAATTCTGATGATTGTGAAAGTTTACAGAGAGATTTGAACCACATTGAACGTTTTTGTAAAAACAATTACTTGCTCTTGAACTTAGATAAGTGTCATGTAATAACCTTTACTCGTAAAAATAATGCTATCCAGTATAATTACAGAATCTCCAGGCGCCAGGCGCCAGGCGCGCGTCATGCTGCGGGCGCGGCTCACAGCGCTATATGTACTCACTCACCTGGTCGAAGTGCGCGTGCAGGTCGTCGTGCAGGCGGTAGTGATGCGCGGCCGCGGCGGTGTCGTGCTGCGCGGTGAGGCGCGCCCGCTCCGACTCTGACAAAGCCAGGCGCGCGTCACCGCTGCCCATTAAAGGAGGCTTTTGAGGTGTAGCACTGATACTTGACTTCTCAATGTAAAGTTTAGCATCCAAATAGCATTGTCTTGTTTGTTGGTAGTAATCGCCGACAAAATATTCTTCACTAACTGGCAGGCATTCTGAAAGCTTCTCATGATTTATCCTGTATTCATTCCAATATTTCTCCAGAGATTCGAGTCGTCTCTTGATATGCTCTGGGGTTCTACGCGATGGACCATCCTTTTTGAAATTGATAATTGTTTTCTTGATTTCTTCTGCTAATAAAGCTTGCTGGTATAATAAGTCATTTACGTCCATTTTGAGTCTTGAGTGAGTCGTGAGTCGTGAGCTTGATTATGTGAGAAAAATATTTGTTTGCAATCTCGTAAATAATTACAGGCGCGCGTCATGCTGCGGGCGCGGCTCACAGCGCTATATGTACTCACTCACCTGGTCGAAGTGCGCGTGCAGGTCGTCGTGCAGGCGGTAGTGGTGCGCGGCCGCGGCGGTGTCGTGCTGCGCGGTGAGGCGCGCCCGCTCCGACTCTGACAGCGCCAGGCGCGCGTCACCGCTGCGGGCGCGGCTCACAGCGCTATATGTACTCACTCACCTGGTCGAAGTGCGCGTGCAGGTCGTCGTGCAGGCGGTAGTGATGCGCGGCCGCGGCGGTGTCGTGCTGCGCGGTGAGGCGCGCCCGCTCCGACTCTGACAGCGCCAGGCGCGCGTCACCGCTGCGGGCGCGGCTCACAGCGCTATATGTACTCACTCACCTGGTCGAAGTGCGCGTGCAGGTCGTCGTGCAGGCGGTAGTGATGCGCGGCCGCGGCGGTGTCGTGCTGCGCGGTGAGGCGCGCCCGCTCCGACTCTGACAGCGCCAGGCGGGCGTCACCGCTGCGGGCGCGGCTCACAGCGCTATATGTACTCACTCACCTGGTCGAAGTGCGCGTGCAGGTCGTCGTGCAGGCGGTAGTGGTGCGCGGCCGCGGCGGTGTCGTGCTGCGCGGTGAGGCGCGCCCGCTCCGACTCTGACAGCGCCAGGCGGGCGTCACCGCTGCCCGCGCGCCGCCTGTGGCCCAGCACCGACGTCGACTAACGACCAAAGGAAATAATCAGAATCGTTTGACGTGACGAGCAAAAAAAATTTTTTTTTCTATTCATTAGGACAACCAACAAGACAATTCACACACTTTAATGATGACTTAAATAATTATTTCAAGTGTTACATTAATTAAAGGCTGCTACGACATGCATTAATGAACGCGTAATATAAAAAAAAGATTGTTTAGAAAAGTTTTGTTCTTCCAGAATAGTACAATCGCTGCTAATATTCATATTAAATACAGACGCCAACGTACAAGAGCAATATCAGAAGTGTCACTTAAAGTAAGATGGACTACATGAGAAACCACTAATATGTTGGTGAATAATATTTTATAGTGCGCCGAGTACGGCGCAACGCAGTGTCGAGTAAACACGGTTTAACAGCTGAGCGTGCCTTTCCGTGAATCATTTGCAACTCATTCGCTAGTCAGTGATTCTCAAAATGTTTACGACTAAATGTGCCACCTGTAACGACACTGTCGGTCATGGCTCGGGAGTGCTCAGTGTGCAAACAAAAATATCATTTCGGTTGTGGCGGCATATCCGAGAGGGGTTTCAACAGATTGGGGTCCGGCAGGGACTCATGGATATGTCCCGCTTGTCGAGATACCAGTGGATCAATTTCCAAGGATGCTTCACCGTCATCAGTCACCAGTGGGACGCCAGTTACCTCCAAAGTACACTCAAGTCATCTCATTGAACATTCCACAGCGGTAATCCAACCCGAACGTGAAACTGTACTCAAGGACATCCTGGCCAAAGTAACGGATCTTCAAACGCAATTTCAATCATTTCAACGAATGGAATCTGATTTAAAACAAGTGAGAGCCGACGTTGCAGACCTTAAATCGTCTCTTGACTTAAGGGTGGACGGCATATTGGACCGTGTTTCGGAAATAGAATCCCGCTTGTCACCTATTGAAGATGTAAAGGCAGAAATGGACAGCCTTAAAAAAGTAATTGAAGCTCTTGTTGAGGATGGCCATAAAAACGAACAATGGGTGCGGCGTTCCAACATACAGATCAATGGAATCCCATATAAAACTGGTGAAAACTTAATTAACTTGGTCAAGAGCCTCGCCGACTTAAGTGAATATTCACTGAAAGAGACGGACATCGATTTTGTCACGCGGGTTGCAGTCAAGGACAGTCAAGATAAAAGACCTAAGCCGATCATATTAAAAATGCAATCGAGATATAGAAAGGACGACTTCTTGGCGGCTCTTCGTAAATTGAAAGATATCAAAGCTAGTGACTTGGGCTTTAGTTCTTCTCAAAATCGAATATACGTAAATGACCATCTATCAACTAAAAATAAATATCTTCTTCAACAAGCTAAAATCAAATCTAAGGAGAAAAGCTATGCATATTGTTGGGTACGGAACTGCACAATTATGGTTCGCAAAAGTGCAAAATCACCTGTGATTCACATCAACTCCGAGGAAGCTTTAAAGAAGATTACATAAGTGCTAACTTTCTATTATTTAATTGGTTTTGCTGCATTATTTGTCTGTTTTTAAAAATCGTTTCTAGTTTTAAATGTTTTAAATTTTTAATAATCTCAATTTGCACTAAATATTATCAATGTGACATAATAATTTCATCAAATAGCGTAAATTGTTTGACAAACACTGTTTCAACAGTTGTTCCATTGTGCGATACTTTTAGTCCGGTTCGCCTGTGTCATGTTGCCGTATCGACGCAAGTAATATCCATTGCTCGCTTAGTGTGCGCAATTCGCTCGCTGTTAGGTTTGTACGGAGTATTCTATACTTATTGTGGCGGATTATCATGTGACTATGCACTTGTTTATATTTTTTTGTTTTACCGTCAATTAGATTTATTGAAACTGTTAATTTTATCGATACATAAATCATTATTAACATATAATGACAATTATTTTTGCGGTGAATTAGATGCTTTTTCTAATCATAGATATGAATACTCGACCATAATGTGTGCAGTGCAGTGCGTGTTGCTTTATTCCTTTATGGATGTATACGCTTCAAGCGGTAAGTCCTTGATAATTATAAGCTCTATTTTTATTTTAATAATTCCTTAATGGTACTAAGCCTATACTACCAAAACGTGCGTGGTTTGCGTAGTAAAACAGGGTTATTCTTGAATAACTTGTTAAATTATAACTATGATATTGTGTGTCTTACCGAAACTTGGTTATTGCCTGGCATTTTCGATGCTGAACTTTTTGATCGACGATACAGTGTATATAGAACTGATAGGGATTACGATAAGCACCGTACTAAGAAGGGTGGTGGCACCTTAATTGCTGTGCGTCAGGGATTGTCCGTAGATGTAAGGTCAGTACACCCAGTACCCTCCCTTTTAGATACAGAAATTACGTGTATTAATATTGTAATGAAAAACGGGCGTAATACTAAAATACTATCAATATTTTGTTGCTATTTTCTTCAAGGTACAAATCAGGAATTGGCTGAACAATCATTTTTTGATCATGTTTCTGACATAGGAATAAACGAACCCGATAATGATTATTTACTGATCGGTGACTTTAATATTCGTTATGCAGCATGGAATGGTGATTCCATTTCAGGAGTTTATTTATCTAATCCACATGTTAACTCACTGGTGTCACAGCTGCATATGTTCTTGAGTTTTACAGGATGGTCTCAATACAATATTGTAGGTAATGCTAATGATAGATGTCTTGACCTAGTAATATCTAGTTTTAAATGTGTTGTATCTCGCACCGAGCCGCTGTCACTGCCAGAAGACTCACATCACCCTGCGCTTAAAGTTGAGTGGCAGACTGAGAGTGACTCATTGCTACTACCATTGCCACGGACTGTTCAATGTTTCTATGCCGCTAATTATGAACATATCAAAAGCGACATTGAAAAAGTTGACTGGGAGGAAATTTTTCAAAACCATTCTCATAGACTGAAAATAGATTTAGCGGTAGACATTTTTTATAAAATTATTTATGAGATCATTGATATTCACGTTCCAAAAAAAATATTGAAACACAGCAATTATCCAGTTTGGTATTCGCGACCGTTAATAAAACTTATCAAAAAAAAACAAAGAAAGCACAAAAAATGGAAAACTTATGGCAGACAGTCTGATTACCTGGAATTTTCTAAGTTACGTAAAGAGATTAAATCAATGCAGAAATTATGCTATGACACTTTTATTACAAAAACAGAAGTAAATTTAAATAAAAATACCAAACATTTTTGGGCGTTCGTAAAATCAAAAAAGGATAATAACTCTATTCCAGACACACTTTACTTGGACAACTCAACTGTTTCAGAGGGATCAACGATTGCACATGTCTTTAATACTTTTTTTCAATCTGTTTTTGAAAGCCATCCGGAGGCGACTTCTACCTATCCACCTTATAGACAAAGTGAATGTATTATTAATTCTGTAAGATGTTCGGAAGACATTGTCAAAAAGTATCTATCAAAGGTTGATGCAAATAAGGGATCCGGGCCGGATGGTATTCACCCTTATTTCATTAAAATGTGCTGCAAGCAATTGGCAGCTCCAATTGCTTACCTATTTCGCCTATCGTTGTCTAGCGCAGTAATGCCTTTAGTGTGGAAGCAGTCATTGGTTGTACCCATTCATAAAAATGGTGATAAACACAACATCCGTAATTACCGAGGAATATCAAAATTGTCTGTAATACCTAAGTTATTTGAAAAAATAGTTTTCGACTCCCTTAATGTAGCCCTTAGACCGATTTTTATTAGTCAGCAGCACGGATTTGTAGCAGGGCGCTCCACTGAAACAAACCTATGTGAGTTTTTAGACCAAGTATTGTGTGGAATGAATAATGGTTTTCAGGTAGATGCTGTGTATACCGATTACTCTAAATGTTTTGATAAAATTTCGCATCAAATATTAGTTAGAAAGCTAGAGAATATCGGTATACATGGTGACCTGCTGAGGTGGTTACAGTCATATCTTGAAAACCGAACTCAGGCAGTTACTGTGAAAGGTTTTAAGTCCAGTTTCATACCGATTACGTCAGGTGTTCCCCAGGGTTCTCACCTCGGACCATTGTTTTTTAACATTTTTATAAATGATGTTAGTCAGTGTTTTCAAAATTCAAAATTCTTACTATTTGCAGATGATACCAAGATATTTTCGATTATTAAGTCTGTTGAAGATTGTGTTAGACTTCAGGAAGATCTAGATCGTTTGTGTGATTATTGTACAATTAATAAGCTGACTATGAATGTCGATAAATGTTGTTCCATAACCTTTAGCAGAAAAAAAACTGAAATAAAATTTAATTATAAACTTTTTGCCAAAGATCTTACTAAAAAGTCTGAGGTGAGAGACCTGGGGGTGATAATGGACAGTCAATTGTATTTTACGTCTCATTTTCATAAAATTACAGCCAAAGCGTATAAAATGTTGGGTTTCATATTTAGGCAGGGCAAAGATTTTAAAAACATAGAAACTCTATTACTTTTATATAACAGTTATGTAAGATCTCAACTAGAGTACGCTTCAACGGTATGGAATCCGCAGTACTTAACACACATAAGCGCGATAGAAAAAGTACAAAATAAATTCATTACAAGGATGAAATACAAATACAATGATTTTTGTGAGGATGACGTTCGATCCCTGGCACACCGAAGAGAGTGCAGAGACTTGGTCTTGCTTCACAAGGTTATAAATGGTCTTGTCGATTCTTCATATCTTTTAAGTAAAATTTTGCTAAAGTGTCCAAGAGCAAATCTACGAGCACGTGATACGTTTTGCATTCCCGCGGGTCGGACTAATTATGCAAGTAATCGCTACATTGTGCGAGCTATGAAATCATATAACTCTAAATATAGTCACATTGATATATTTAATCTTAATTTTTTGAAATTTAAAAAACTAATTTTTTAACTCGTTTTAGGCACAAAATTCTTATTTCTTTTTGTTTTGTTTATGTTCATTATGATACCAAAAATTGTTTCTTTTTTCTCTCGTGTTTATTAGACACTATGTGAGATAATTAATAGTGGAAATTACCTAGGCAATTGTTTAAACTAATGTTATATTTTTTATGTAAAAATTAATGCTGTTATTTCCCTAAAAATAAATAAATAAATAAATAAATCACGAAAGTTGATAATTAAGGTGCGATTCAAACTCAAGAGTAATCAGTGCAAATCATCATCAGCCTATTAATGTCTCCACTGCATAAGACATGTTTATGAATGGATTAGAGAGATAGGGCCCAGTGCAGATTGGAGATGCAGCCGAGATCGCAGCAGCCCCCCCCCCCCCCTCCGCCCCCCTCCACTCACCTGCAGCAGCGCCACGAGCCCGATGGGGTCGTGGTGCGTGGCGGGCGCGGTGGTGTTGCAGATGACGCAGTCGTAGTGCCGCTCGGGCGCGAGGCAGTCGTCCCACTCCATGTGGTCAGCGTTGGCTCGCAGGTGAGTCATGAATTGCTGCTGCCGGCGAGCGAATTCTCGCATCACGGCCGCTTGGCGCTCGCGAGCGCGGCGCGAACGCTCCTCTTTTTCGCGACGCTCCCTAAACACAAGAAAATGTTCACTAAAAAAAACAAATTTCAGGTAATAGAGTATTTGACAAGTTTTAGAAAACGATCTCACGTTACTTACTAATGTTTATGGAGTCCGTAAAAAGGGGATATTCATCATTCCGTTGTGTATTTCAGTTAAAATAACCAAATCAAATATTCCATTTTCAAGTTGCCTCGAAAACGTTTCTCTAGACAAAATCGCGTCTCACTGGTGTGTGACGTCACACGACTGTTATTAAAACGTCAAACGATACAATGTAATGTCACTTTAACCGGAAGTTTACTTGCGTGTGACATCATTTTAGGCTCCGCCAATCCCAAGCGTTTTGGGTCACGTGACAATAGATAAGAAAACTATTACCTTTTTCTTGGGGTTTTTAGTAACATTATAAATATTTTTTTTGTAAAAATAGTGATAATCCCTGCCAATATTCATTCTAAACACAGATGCTAACAATTGGCACTTTATTTTTAATATTGTCAAATACAAAGAAAAGAAACGCAATGACGACGTAATGGCGCGATTACACTTGGTCGTCAGTCCGAATACGAGTGCCAATGGAATTCGGGTAAACGACTAAGTGTAAATGAACGGAGCCAAATAAATAAGTAAATACGTACGTACGTAATGTGAATCACTTTACAGCTTCAAAAGGAAAGTAAGTGAATTATTGTTTAAATAGTTAACATGCGCGGCGGCGATGTATATCATACGTTTAAAGTAACCCGTCACTTTTATGCCGCTTGAATATAATAATTATATAACAATTAATGGTACTTTTGGTCTATTTGTAAACATAAATTGTAAAATTGTTTGTATAAGACTGTTTGTTACTTGAATTAAATAAATAAGTATATACCTGGCCCGCTGCTCGGCCTGCCGCTCGCGCTGGTTGGGCCACAGCGTGTGCCGCACGTGCTGTATGGCGGCGCCGCACCGCGCGTCCAGCTGCGCCAGCGCGCGCAACACTTGCCCGATGAAGTATGGCCCGTCGCCTGACCGATACGATACAAAACAGTTTTTTTTTTTGGCGGGATATCATCGAGTGTGTTTGGCGTCTTATTTTAATTACTAGCAAACCAGTGAACCAAATGTTCACCAAAACCTGATTTCTCGAAAACCGGAAGTGCTACGTTACTCAAATCCGGTTTGTAGTCTTATCAGACTATTCTTAACTTATAACTTAAATATTCTCTTTATCTATCTCTTACGGTTTGGCCGCTGAAACAGCACCACAGACAGACGGACGGACTTGTCTAATAGATAAGAGATTCTTAAATTCGTTCATAGTGGATATTGTGAAATAAAATTGGTGTGATTTTGTGTTACAACTGTCTGCGTAACTGAAGAATTAGTAGAATCGTCAAAATATACGCTATTCCGGTCGAGTGGACGTGAGAATTTTATTGCAGTATTGACTACCTCACAGAAGCTTATCGAAAAAGCCAGCTCGATACATTTCGTGCCAAACACTTCGAGAAACATTAGAATGCGTCACACCGATATTCTAATGTAAAAAGAAAAACAGAATAATTAAACTTAAGACTAGGCTGTATGGGCATTGTTCCCCTTGCCTTCTCTGAAAAGGGAGAACTTAACAAAAACAAAAACAATACAAAACACTATGTTATGTATACCACAGAAAACATGTTCGGTTCAAAACCGACAGGTATTGCGACATATTAGGATAAAGCACGGGGCGGCTCGCGGTAACTGGGCCATAGTCCGCCGTGCACTTTAACACTTCAGTGCAATACATTTCGCGGTAGCAATTAGTTATACTCGTTAACATTATAACATAAATTCGGAACATTTTTATAACAGTTAATTACATATTAAAATAGTTTTAACAATAACAATTTCAGACATTTTGCTTTATCTTTAATTGAACATTTCTAAATATAAGTGAACTGTGTGTCCAACTGTGGAGTAAAATAAAATATTTAACAGTTTAAACAGTGTATTTCTTCATTAAATCCCCACGCAAACTAATACCCTATAACCCCTAACAAAACATTACAATAAATACAAAGACATCGAGACATAAAATAACTTATAAGAATGTTTGACAACAGACTTGATTTTTTCACCAATAAATAAGGCGATATTTACCTATAGGTTCGTCATTCTCGGGCGGCGTCTCCTCCAGCGAGAAGGAGTCGAGTTTGCCGGACAGCTGCGAGTGCAGCTTCATCAGCAGCGATATTATCGACTCGTTGACGGGTATCGACTCGTCGCCCGGCTGTTGGTTGTGCACCTGGACCTGTGCCAACTTGTGTATGAGAGTGTTGTCCCATTACCACCATTGGGGTACCAAAATATGAACAGGGTAGCAACACGAAAAAATTATCCATCAACTAATGTCATCTACGAGTATATATATAAAACTCAAAGGTGACTGACTGACATAGTGATCTATCAACGCACAGCCCAAACCACTGGACGGATCGGCCTGAAATTTGGCATGCAGGTTGACGTTATGACGTAGGCATCCGCTAAGAAAGGATTTTGATCAATTCTACCCCCAAGGGGATAAAATACCGAAGCGAAGCGAGGGCGGGCCACTAGTCACTTATAAATTTTGATTTCATATTTTTATCAAGGAAAAATCATCAAAAGTTACGTTTGCAACAGAGCGGTATTACGCAGAACGCCACCAGCCAACATTTTTGAAGCTACCAAAAATGAGATGTGTGGACCGATATTACAGTATGATTGTGAAACCATTGGTTAAAAGTGGAATCAAACTTTAAGATGGTTTCATAGGACAAATTTGGTGTTTACTTCAAACATGCCCGATGGTCGCTTCCTGCTTATTAACAATGCTAAATTTCTCAGCATGAAAATTATAATGATTCCTTAATTAATGACAGAATACTTTAAGGAATATAAAATCTCATACCTGTGCGCTTGTAGAAGGCTGCGGTCCCGGCCGCCTCGCCACAACGCACCAGTCTGACGGCTCGTCTATAAACAACATGAAAGACATCAATCGTATCTTTATTTAAAGCTTTAAGCCTCGATGACACGGGGAGAGTTTACAAGCTACAAGCCAGCTCCGTATCATAGGATATTTGACAAGTTTTAGAAAACGATCTCACGTTATTTACTAATGTTTATGTCCATAAAAAGTGGATATTCATCATTATGTTGTGTATTTCGGTAAAAATACCAAATCAAAAACTCTATTTTCAAGTTGCCGCGAAAAACGTATCTCTAGACAATATGGCGTCTCACTGGTGTGTGACGTCACACAACTATCATTAAAACGTCAAACCATACAATCAAATGTCACTTTAACCGGAAGTTTACTTGCGTGTGACGTCATTTTAGGCTACGCCAATCCCAAGCGTTTTGGGATTGTAGTATATATATCTTTATCGAGGGCTTTTAGTAAAATTATGAATATTTTTTCTGTAAAAATAGTGAAAACTCCTGCCAATATTCATTCTAAATACAGATGCTAACAATTGGCACTTTATTTTTAATACTGTCAAATACCCTATTGAGTAGTAGATGGTAAAAAAACCGATAACACGGGGCGATTTTAAAAACTGCTAGCCAACTCGCTGGCTTGAAGCTAGTAAACTCGCCCCGTGTCATCGAGGCTTTAAATCAATGAGATGTCAAGTACAAACTAAACATGATTATTCGAATGAATTAGTTACTCAACTACCGCAAGCATTAATAATTTAGGACTCAGAAATAGTGGCATGGAAGAGTTGTATAAGTTACCAATCTGAATAAATTGGAATATTGATTAATGACTAAACGAGCTAAGGCGAGATATTGATATCTTAATGTAAAAAAAAAATAAGTCGATTACAAATATACGTGCTTATTATGAATGGCAATACGCAGAGTACATTTATAAAATCAATATCTAGTTATAATAATAGAGTGGTTTGCGTATATTCGGCACAAACTTTATGGTGGTAATCAAAAGGTAGGGCATAAAGGATTTTCCACTCAGATTGGAGCGCCCATCTGGGAATGGAATATCCGCCTTACAGCACACCACAGTAAAATAATACCAAATTTTAGTTGGGTTGCGTTCCTGTCGATAATAAGACCTAGGACTCTACGGGGTAGGGAATTAGGTCAGAGTTACTCTAACCTGCCTGTTAAGAACCTCTGGTCTAAAGGTTATGGTAACCGTTTAGCATCAGACTTTTATTTATTTATGGTACAGCGACAGAGTACAAATTATAACTTACATATTATTATACAAAATTATTGTATTACATTAAATTGCACCCCAATTGATGCTGAACACGACATTTGCTTAATTTTAGCTCACAAATGTGAAAAAATAATTATTATAATAATTAAATATGCAATTACAATTAAAAAAGGAATAATTAAATATGTATGTACTAATCAAGAATTATAAATAATAATAAAAATCAATTTAATTATAATTTGCTCCTGCATATTCGTAAGTAGGAGGAGTGGGAAAGGGCAAAGATATCCACGTCATTGGCTATTTCATAAAGGGCCCTGCTCATTCTATATAATGGGTCATTGTAGGTAACATTATTACTACAAGTTGGTACGGAAAAAAGTTTCTGCACCCTTTTACTTCCTCCCACTTTGAATGATAAACGGCTCAACAGAACCTCCACGTCCCAAACAGAGTTTACAATTTTGTACAGTGTCAATAAATTTGCTATGTTTCGGACGGCCGCACATATGCTTGTTTGCTACCACAAAAAAATAATATGGTAGAAAAACAAGTTACCTATGTGTGTGGATGGAGTGTCCGGTTCTGCGATGGCCAGCGTGAGCTGACGCTCCGCGTCCATCATCATGGTGTCCAGGGGAGGCAGCGCCAGCGCCTGGCGGTCTGTCACGTCCTAATCATAAGAGAATAAGATCATGTTCTTAAGCAGGAAATACAGACAATACATAAGTCATCTCGAAAATTCCTCGGAAAAATCCAAAAATTGAGAATGTAATAAATTCTATTAGATAAAACTACATTGCAATAGTATAGCTGTGGCAAAAACAATGAATAATTAAAAGTAACGTATTACATTAACATGTATTTGATTTTGGTTAAAAATATCATTAAAAACGCTTAGCTCAACACCAATTAAAAACACTGTGCCTGTTCATGAGAGACTGTATTGAGAGACAAAGACCGTTAAATAAAAAAAACTTGGTCAACATAATTTATCAACACATACCTCCAAAGCTCTCATCTGCGGAGTCTCACCTCCCGTGTCTGATTGGTCATCTGGTACAGAGTCTTCTCTTCGCACCATCTTATAAACAAAATATTTATTTAAATAATTGTCATTTTACCTCATTAACTTGTGACTGAATGATGTATGTATATATTTGTCTGTTTTTACAATAAGACTGGACCAAGATTAGATCCCTGGGGTACTCTTTATTTTTTTGGTACAAAAGACAAGATTCGATGATTTCATTATTTAACAAGAAGCTTAACGTTTTTGTTAGTTTGGGGTCTTTTAAAATTTCGTGATCTACTTATATTACGATGCAAAAAAAATATTGCAGTTAACCTTTAGTATTGAAGTGTTTTGTCGTCTTCGATCAATAATACTATCTAATTTCGTCGTATTAAATGTATATGCATGTAACTTTTTAAATCTAAAGAAATTTTGAATAGACGTAGTTACACGCGCTTCAGGATACAGACTGGACTCGAACCCGTGCCCTTCGCTATCCGGGCGGACGCACTAACGAATTATGCTACCGCGACCTTAATGGCCGTGTCCAAATTCTTCTTTGTTGTTGGTTGTTATTAGGTTTGACTTAAAACTGTTTTAAGATTATAGTCTTTGTTCATTAGGAATCGAAATTTTAGCTTTGATTTGTATAAAACCTGTTATCTATAGTACTGTTAGTCGAAGTTTGACATCCTGTGTATGTCCTGTGTGTTCTTAAGAGCAACTTATGCGAAAAAGAAGCATAATTATTATTAAATTATAGGTTCTCACCTGCAAAGGTGATGGCACCGCCAGCGCTGTGCTGGTGGCTGGTAGAGAAACAGATTTTGTCAATGAAGGCAGTCTTGTTGTCTCTGGTTCTGAGGGCTCCCATTCTGTGTCACCTGTACATTAATAAGGTGTTTTGCATTCAAGTTTTACGAAAGGTTTTTAATGGATATTTTTAGTGTTTTTAACTCATCCTTATCCTCATAAATCTTTCTTATATTATAAATATGTAAATGTATGACCTGAATTGAGACATAGGATTCTTTTTATTTTATTTTATTATAGTACACCAACAAAATACATAAATTACATAATTTTAACAACCTTATTATTGAAAATACTTAGTATGATTTTAATAAAAGGTAATCATACTAATTGCAATTGACTTTGTAACAAATGCCATCTCTTGAATTACATCCTATACACTACAAACACAACCAGTGTGTCAGGCAGTCAGGCACACAGCGAGTCACCACTCACAAGTAATAACGTGTTAAACTTAATAGGATATATCGTTGCACTTGATCGGTGAATTGTAAGCGTCAACCCGTCACGTCTACGACCACTCAGCCAAAATCTTTACCACATTATTTTTAAATGTGTGAAAGCTGTTGCCAAAAATGTCATGTCAATGTGTAAATGTGATATGGTAACATTGGGAAATATTTCAATGCATTTTATTTTTATAGCACCAGTCATGAATAGAGGCAAGATCGCTCTGTAACAGCTGACAGTCATCGTCACTTCTAATACCTTCATGTCATTCGCGAACATTGAACACTGGCTATACCTAATACAAGCCATAACATCGTTGACGAAGAGAACAAACAAAATAGGTCCAAGATGGGATCCCTGAGGCACACTCGAAGATGACTTGTATAACTGGGACTAAAACCATGATTAAAGGGGCTCAGCAATTCCATAAGTATTTTCTTACTTGCAAAGTAGAATACGACGGTTAACCTTGTCGAAGGCGCTGCTAAAATCCGTATAGATTGAGTCTACCTGACCACCATGATCCAATACCATACTTAAAGTGTTCACATACGAAAATAAATTAGTTGATACAGATTTCTTTGCCTAGAATCCATGTTGTTCATCATTGATTAAATGTATTATGCGCCCAACAATTAAAGGACATATTAATGACTCGAAGACCTTTTATCCCGGAAGAATGTTTGGTATCTCTGAAATTCTTAAAAAACTAAAGTTAAAAGTTAAGCGCGGGCGCGGCGCGGGGCGGCACGCTGGTCACTATAGTCCTGGCGTTGTGTCTGTGGGCGGGCGCGGGCGCGGGCGGTACGTATACGTACTGTCTGCGTGGTAGGGGGCGGGGGCGGGCGCGGGGGCGGGCGCGGCGCGGGGCGGGCGGGGCGGCACGCTGGTCACTATAGTCCTGGCGTTGTGTCTGTGGGCGGGCGCGGGCGCGGGCGGTACGTATACGTACTGTCTGCGTGGTAGGGGGCGGGGGCGGGCGCGGGGGCGGGCGCGGCGCGGGGCGGGCGGGGCGGCACGCTGGTCACTATAGTCCTGGCGTTGTGTCTGTGGGCGGGCGCGGGCGCGGGCGGTACGTATACGTACTGTCTGCGTGGTAGGGGGCGGGGGCGGGCGCGGGGGCGGGCGCGGCGCGGGGCGGGCGGGGCGGCACGCTGGTCACTATAGTCCTGGCGTTGTGTCTGTGGGCGGGCGCGGGCGCGGGCGGTACGTATACGTACTGTCTGCGTGGTAGGGGGCGGGGGCGGGCGCGGCGCGGGGCGGGCGGGGCGGCACGCTGGTCACTATAGTCCTGGCGTTGTGTCTGTGGGCGGGCGCGGGCGCGGGCGGTACGTATACGTACTGTCTGCGTGGTAGGGGGCGGGGGCGGGCGCGGGGGCGGGCGCGGCGCGGGGCGGGCGGGGCGGCACGCTGGTCACTATAGTCCTGGCGTTGTGTCTGTGGGCGGGCGCGGGCGCGGGCGGTACGTATACGTACTGTCTGCGTGGTAGGGGGCGGGGGCGGGCGCGGGGGCGGGCGCGGCGCGGGGCGGGCGGGGCGGCACGCTGGTCACTATAGTCCTGGCGTTGTCGCAGACTGCGGCGCCCGGGAACGCTCCCAGTAGCGGCACGCCACGGACGCGAGTTCCACTCTCGCTACCCGCTATGCACACGTCACCCTGTAAGACAAAACAATACTTTGTTTAACTTTTGATCATAATACAAAAGAGTATGTGAAAGGACATTGTTCAGCGTCCATACATAGTTAGCCTAAGAACCAACAATCATGAAATATTATTTTCTAGGTTCAAAATCGTAAGTAAATGACTGTAAAAACAAAGATTATTGACGGACACTTCTGAGAACTTAAAATATTAGGAAAATTAAAAATTTTTTGAGGTTATGCTTAATATTCAATGAAACATAGGTCCACCTATGAATTTAGTATAAACTCAGTATGAAGTGAATTAATATTACAAGTAATTCATTTTATTCGGTATGATTTTAAAGAATAACTACTTATTAGGAAAAACTTGGTTAGGTAGGATTCATGAATAAAATAAAAACTGTAGTTTTGCTTCTTATTTATTGACTATTTTTCACATAATTGTATCATATTGTTTTCTGAAAGCTCGAACAGCAAAAACTTAACAATCCGTCAAGACTACCTAATGTTAAGTATCAATTGAGTTGCTGAAATCTATTTAACTAAACACTATGTCAGTTGACCAAGCTTTGAATTTAAAAGAAGACAAATAAAACGATGACATTTATTGCAGAACACTTAAATTTTACCAAAAGTTATAGAGATTCGCTATTCTATATGAGTTTAAAAAATTTTGTTAAAAAAAGTATCTAGTTGACGTCACTGTGATAAACTTGTTCCATAGACTATGACAACATAGGTGATTTGACGGTGATGAGTAGACCTTTTGTCTCAGTGCTACCTTCTGGAGCCCGTTATGCCCGAAAACCCTCATTACAACACTCACCGGGTGCGTAGGTCTCTGCTCGGCCTCCAGCAGCGCGCAGACCCGCAGCAGATACACAGCGAGCGCCAGCACGTGGTCGGGCGGGGCATGCGGCGCCGCGCCCGCCTCCGCCCCGCCCAAGGGCCCGCCCCCGCTCCCGCTACAATAACACAACACTCACCGGGTGCGTAGGTCTCCGCTCGGCCTCCAGCAGCGCGCAGACCCGCAGCAGATACACAGCGAGCGCCAGCACGTGGTCGGGCGGGGCATGCGGCGCCGCGCCCGCCTCCGCCCCGCCCAAGGGCCCGCCCCCGCTCCCGCTACAATAACACAACACTCACCGGGTGCGTAGGTCTCCGCTCGGCCTCCAGCAGCGCGCAGACCCGCAGCAGATACACAGCGAGCGCCAGCACGTGGTCGGGCGGGGCATGCGGCGCCGCGCCCGCCTCCGCCCCGCCCAAGGGCCCGCCCCCGCTCCCGCTACAATAACACAACACTCACCGGGTGCGTAGGTCTCCGCTCGGCCTCCAGCAGCGCGCAGACCCGCAGCAGATACACAGCGAGCGCCAGCACGTGGTCGGGCGGGGCATGCGGCGCCGCGCCCGCCTCCGCCCCGCCCAAGGGCCCGCCCCCGCTCCCGCTACAATAACACAACACTCACCGGGTGCGTAGGTCTCCGCTCGGCCTCCAGCAGCGCGCAGACCCGCAGCAGATACACAGCGAGCTCCAGCACGTGGTCGGGCGGGGCATGCGGCGCCGCGCCCGCCTCCGCCCCGCCCAAGGGCCCGCCCCCGCTCCCGCTACAATAACACAACACTCACCGGGTGCGTAGGTCTCCGCTCGGCCTCCAGCAGCGCGCAGACCCGCAGCAGATACACAGCGAGCGCCAGCACGTGGTCGGGCGGGGCATGCGGCGCCGCGCCCGCCTCCGCCCCGCCCAAGGGCCCGCCCCCGCTCCCGCTACAATAACACAACACTCACCGGGTGCGTAGGTCTCCGCTCGGCCTCCAGCAGCGCGCAGACCCGCAGCAGATACACAGCGAGCGCCAGCACGTGGTCGGGCGGAGCATGCGGCGCCGCGCCCGCCTCCGCCCCGCCCAAAGGCCCGCCCCCGCTCACGCCGCCGCTCGTGGGCCCGCCGCCACCCGTGCGTCGATGTACGCCCCGGTGCAGCACGCATAGTAGAGCGCCGTGTAGGACGCCTGGAGTACCAAAACGTTATTAAGTCTAGCTATTGCCCTGAGATCATCTCTATGAAAATATTAAAAATTAAAAACCTTTTCCAAAACAATCCTTTATTTAAGTGCGCTAAAAATATTAAATAAAAAGTTTCCTTTAAAATTTTTCATTAATAAGTAACAAAATAAATTCAAAATTTTGTACTTTTTTTAATTAAGTTTGTAAATAAATTACGAAGCGAGGTGCAATGCAACAAGGATATTTAGTAATGAGTGTGATAGTTCAGGTAAGGCGCTACTATCTACGTGAATGACATACAAATTATGACGTATACAAAAAGGGCGGCGTTAGTTCCAATTTTGGCCACATTCATAAAGATCCTTATCGCAGCATAAATAGTATATCCCGCCACGTACCTGAGGCCCCCACGACAACGGCTAACTAGAGCCGAGGTCAGAGTCTCACAGACGCTTTCTAGTTGAGCCGATCCCCTCAAGTTCGAGTGGTCTAGAGGCTCCAGACGGAGAGGAGACTCCCCCCGCAGGGAGATGCCAGCCGCCTGGAATACCTCTAGAGGCACTCGCCAATTCTCGGCTTGAGGTCCCCTTAGGATCTCGCCATCCCCAAACCCGGTGACGCTGTAAAGGTCATCTGCGACCAACAGCATACACACTTAGAAAAAAAAATCAAAAAATGTACCCGAGGCACACAGCGTGCGCGGGTCTCCAGCGGCGGGAGGCGCAGGCGCAGGCAGCCGCAGCGGCGGCCACAGCGCGCCTGTAGTAGGGGCAGTCGGACCGCCCGGTACGCCCGGACCGCCCGGTACGCCCGGACCGCCCGGAACACCCGGACCGCCCGGCTGAGGGGAAGCCGTCTGTGTAGGCGACTGTGCCGATGACGACTTGTGCTTCTCGCGAACGCTATATGGAAGGGAACGTTTGAACGAGATTTGAACAATAATATTCATATATATATATATTTAAAGCTTGATGGTTACACAAGCCTTAGGGCGCTTTCAATTTATGCGTTTCTTGACGGCCTACTGCGGTGCGTTTGTCGTACAGCGTACGGACGATCCTTTTTTTTGATACAAAACGCGCGGTGCGGCAACAGTGCGGCGCCGGTACCAAAAACGCTCGACAACAGGACTGTTGCGGCACCGCGCGTTTTGTATGAAAAAAAGGATCGTCCGTACGCTGTACGACAAACGCACCGCTTCAGCACCGCAGCAGGCCGTCATCATCATCATCATCAGCCTCTTTATGTCCCCACTGCTGGGGCACAGGCCTTCCCTATGGATCCTAGCAGGCCGTCAATAAACGCATAAATTGAAAGCACCCTTACAGTGCTTACTTTCGGGTAAGGCTAATTGGTGTGTGTTGGAAATATTTATTATCTCTTATCTATTAGACAAGTATGTCCGTCTGTCTGTGGTGCTGTTTCAGCGGCCAAACCGTAAGAGATAGATAAAGAGAATATTTAAGTTATAAGTTAAGAATAGTCTGATAAGACTACAAACCGGATTTGAGTAACGTAGCACTTCCGGTTTTCGAGAAATCAAAGGTTTTGGTGAACATTTGGTTCACTGGTTTGCTAGTTATTATTATTTGTTTAAAACGACGTCACTCACTATGCGGAGAACCTCTCCATCGACGAATGGAAGTCCCTGCGATGCACGGCGCGGCGCAGAACGTGCAGCGGGTCGTAGTAATGCTCCCACACTATGGGCTTAGGCACGAACAACCCTTGCTCCAGGTTCTCCGAGCCCTTAGGTGGAGGCCGATACGTGGACACCTGTGCGGAAATAAGTCTTTTATAAAATAAATGCTTAGCGTTTCAAGCGAAACTTAGGGTATATCATCATCAGCATAATTTATTACAATTAAAATATTTCCAGTTATTGATTGATTTCATGTTCTCAGTATTTCACCAATTCAAAGTTAGCTCAGACATCAATAGTGATGAAAGTAGTTTGAGAGTCCAAACTTCGTGTAGGGGGCAGATTTTCCATCAGCCTCTGATAATTTTTGTATAAAAAGAAAGGACATTGTTCTGCGTCCATACATAGTTAGCCTAAGAACCAACAATCATGAAATATTATTTTCTAGGTTCGAAATCGCAAATAAATGACTGTAAAAACAAAAATTATTGACGGACACTTCTGAGAACTTAAATTATTAGGAAAACTAAAATTTTTTTGAGGTTATGTTTAATGTTCAATGAAACATAGGTCAACCTACGAACTTAGTATGAACTCAGTATGAATTGAATTAATATTACAACTAATTCATTTTATTCGGTGCGATTTTAAAGAATAACTATTAGGAAAAACTTGGTTAGAATAAAATAAAAACTGTAGTTTTGCTTCTTATTATTTATTGGCTATTTTTCACATAATTGTATCATATTGTATATTGGATTTATTTGTTTTACACATGTGTATTGTGCAGCGTGAATGTGTATCAGGTGTTCTTGAATAATTTGGCAGTATGATCCTCTCGGAATGTTGTGGCACAGGTTCACTAGCACTTGGTAATAAGGTCTCTGCTCTTTGGTAACATCGATGGCATATTAGAGAGCCGACATAGTAATAGTTAAATTAAAGGAAAAACAATCGCAAATAAATACACACAACAGGTAATTCGAAACGAGAATTTTCCGTAGATAAAAAGTACTCATTGATGAGAATGCACCACAGACTATTTAGATACTACATGGAATGCACGAATGCCACAGATTACTACGAATACAGATTGCCTGCACCTCAACCACAGAGTAACGAGTTTATGCCGGCCCTTCACTTGACAACAGTTTGTCCTTGTCATGCTTAATAAGGAATGAAAAGGACAGACTGATGTCAGGTTTTTAAATAGCAAATACAAATAGCCAAGTGAAGTGCCGACATTAGGAATAAAGAGTGTTTTGTTTGCAGCGCTGTCATAGGTTGCGGCCAGAGTGCACTCAGATTCAGATTCAGATTCCGAAAACAAGCGCGAGAAATAAACAGTGTAGTCGAAGGGTACGGCCAGAGTGCACTCCTGATTCAGATTCAGACTCAGAAAACAAAGCGCGAGAAAAAGCAGGCAACCTGCTTAGACTACACTGTTTATTTCTCGCGCTTGTTTTCAGAATCTGAATCTGAATCTGAGTGCACTCTGGCCGCACCCATAGATTATACACATAAAATGGTATTTATTGTCTCAGATTATTTATTAACTTTTTAATTTAGCTTACTTAACTGGAAGTGTCCGTCACAATCTAAATACTGATAATTATCGCAAAAAATATACTAAGAATTATCATAAATGCCAAATTGGTGTTGGTTCTTAGGCCAATTTTACCATTGTCCTTTGAACGGTCCTCCTGATGAAAACTCAAAGGTGACTGACTGACATAGTGATCCATATACGCACAGCCCAAACCACTGGACGGATCGGGCTGAAATTTGGCATGCAGGTAGATGTTATGACGTAGGCATCCGCTAAGAAGGGATTTTGATCGATTCTACCCCCAAGGGGATAAAATAGGGAATGAAAGTTTGTATGAAACTTTGTCAATTTAAATCCGATCGGGCTGAGACTTTGCATGCAGGTATAAGAATAATCATAGATGAATGTCATTGTGTTTAATGTAAGCCTGAGAACAAAATCTTGTAGACTACACCGAAGCGAAGCGAGGGCGGGCCGCTAGTGAACTATAAATGCTTGCGCTATCAGAGTATTACTCGCGCCATGGTTCCCTGACCACACACCCTGTGGAGCCTGGGTCTGTATGTGTGTGTGTGTTTTTTTTTCTATAGATAGATCCGACAAATGCCTCCCATCCCACCTGATGTCAAATGATGGTATAAGAAAGAGAAAGAGTAGTAGTTACCTCCTTGAGCACGGTCTCGAAGTTCCTGGTGTGCGCGTTGCCAGACCGCTCGGGCATGAGTTCCAACAGTTGCGAGTGCGTTTTGTCACCCGCAGCGAGTAGCGTGCTGACTTCCAATCGGGACTGAGTCAGTTCATCATTACCTACCAAAAATAAGAGAAAATCCTAAGATACTTCTATTCTTTTCTTTCTCTTTGATTAATGTTAACTAATTTAACCTAAGTTATTAATCTGATAGGTTACGAATGAAGAAAAAACTTAAATAAAAGGACAAAATAGATAAATCGTCGCTTTACATCAGGCGAGATTGTGGTCAAACGCCTTGCCTATTAAGCATTAACAAAAACAGGTATTATTTTGGCATCTGATATATAAATGAGCAATTGAAAAATAATGCATGTAAATATTGTGTATAGTACATAATATCAATGTTGTTCATAACGTCAATCTTAAAGTAAGTAGCAAATTCGCTGCATTGTATTGTGTTATGAAAATCTGAAAGAAGAGCCAGTCAAACTGGAGACAATATAGTGGATGAACCGCTTCCGCTACGTGTGCGTCAACATTAATGATAATAATATGGTCGAGGACAAAGAAATCGGATCCTTTATTGAAGTATTGTCTGCGCTGCATTTATTCAAGTTAAAGTAACCCATTCAATGATATCTCGTAAAATATGATTCAAACACCTATTATGATAACAATTTTACGAAATGCTGAATAAGTCCACTATAAGACTATTACAAACAAAACTGTATCTCGCGATGAATCGGAGAAGTCAGTAAACTTTAAAATAAGCAAAGTTTGGTATCTCTTGATTAAAATGTCCTCTTTTAAAGAAAAGTTTACTAGAAAAAATTCCACGCGGTTTCCTTCCACGTCTGCTGCCTGGTCCGCGTGGATTTTTTTCTAGTAAACTTTTCTTTATATTTAAACATTTAGCAGTTAAATGCTTAAAAAATAAAAACATGTCCTCTTTTAGTTAAAACTAAAATATAGTTACTTGTATGGGAAATTTAGGTGACAATCGCTTGCACTTTCAATAGTAGTGCTTTAAAAGTGTCCTCCTATTTTTGAGATTGAGCTCAAGCGAATATAGCTTAAAGTGTCAGCAGCTAACTTCTTTCAAGATAAATTAAATGTGTCAACTTTTTTTGACACTAAAATTTTTAATGGTATGTGTGTACCATCCTATGCCTCATCATCGCTTTCCATCAGGTGAGATTGTGGTCAAACGCATTGCCTATTTTACATAAAAAAAAAGATAAATTAAATGTGTCAACTTTTTTGACAATAATTTTTTTAATGGTGGTCTTACCAAGGTTGGTTCGCGAAGAGACAAGTATGGCAAGGAAGGTGAGAAGCCCCTCCACCATGGCGTCCTGCTCAGCGGCCTGCGCGGGAGTCATGGGCAGCATGCTCAGCCATTCGCGGACACCGAACCTGCGTATCATTGGTAAAAACTAACGTTATTGAACTGGGTAATGATGCTTGATGTCGCCTAATGCCTATTAAAAATATAAATACTTATATTTGTTATTGTTTTTAGCATTTAACTGCTAAATGTTTAAATCTAGTTGTTAAATGCTAAATATTAATACTTTTCTAAATCTGTGCAATATGAAATAAGTTAAAGGGTCTCTAAATTTATCTTAAGGAAAAAAAACTATTTAAACATTACACAACAATCGGCTTATCTGTACCACAAATGTAAGTGAAAAAGCAAATTGATCCCAACAATCTTCCACTTCTTTCAATATTTATATTTAAAACTAGCTGTGCCCCTCGGTTTATTAGGGATATTTTCCCGCAGTAAAACGTAGCCTATGTGTTGTTCAAGGGTGTCAGCTAACTCCATACCCAATTTTATTAAAATTGTCCAGCCCTTTAAACGTGAAGATGTAACAAGCATACACACTCACAAACTTTCGCTGTAAAAAATATTAGTGTGATTATATTTGCTGTTTTGTTTAATCAGTGATTTTAATCCATTATCAAAAAAGTTATATTTCTCAATTTAAGAAATAATATTCAAAGTTACATTTTTTATTTAAAAAAATCTATTTACCTATTAAAATATATTTCTCTTCAGTTTTGAAATTTGTATGGTCAAATTTCATATTAACACTAACAAACAGATACATTATTTCTGAGTGGGAGAAGTTGCTAATTCTGGGTTAGCTAGAATAATTTAAAGCAGGAGTAAATAAAAAAATAAGGTGTATCGTCAAATGAACAAACAGCAAAAACAAATATCCATGGTAAAGTTATTGAAGCCAGTGTTAAACTCACATATCAATACACATATCGATGAACTGGTCGGCGGGCAGGTGCGCGGCGCAGATCTGCAGCCAGTAGATGTCCATGTCCACCATGGAGTTGCAGAAGTTGGCCTGGATGTAGGTCATCGCCTGCCCCTTGATCTGCAGCCCGTTGCGCACCCACACGCCCGCCAAGATCTCGTAGAATAGGCTCTGTTCAAAACAAACATATCTCATTATAACTGAAACTTGTTTATAATAAATTTAAAAAAAAACTTTTAATAAAAATCAAATTTTCCTTTAAAACTTTTGCTAATGACATATAACGTCAATAAACAATTTATATAATATAAAAACTTGGTATTCTCGTAAAATTAAAGTTAACGTGGAAGTCGCGGACGGCCGATAGTTCCCTATAAAGTATGTTAAGGACAACCTGCTATCAAGGTGACAAATAGCAAATACGAATATATATATATATATATATACGAATAGTCATGTCAAGTGCTAGCATATGAGAGGTGGTGGAGGAATTTCTACCCTAATTGCAAAGTGAACTCCACTGTTAGTCAAATAACTTTGACCAGTAATATTCTGTTCTTGAAATGTGTTAAATATCCTTCGTGCCATTATAGAAACGAATCGAAAATGCAAGACATTGTCTCACTCGCACGTTACTTAGGGCATGTGTGACAGGAACAGAATATCTTATGTCGTCTTTTGCTATTTGTTTTTTTTTATTGACGCGAATTATAGCTAGCTCCACGTGTTTGTGGTTTAGGATTCTGTTAACATATTATTCGTGTTTTAAAATCGTTTACGTACGATAATTTTTCGTGAAAACGTGTCGTTAAGAAGGAGGTACGCTTGGGCCGATTGTGCCTCTCTATCGCTTGACCGCGCTCTCGCTTGCACGCTCAGATTTATGGAGGCCATACACGTTAGGTTTTGTCTGATGGTTTTAACCGTGTATGCATAACCGAGTTTCATATTGCACATAAACGTTAGGGTTTGCATGCACAGTTTGGTCATTACTCTCAGTTGAGCTACGTGACGGTGTGTGTAGAACGCCTATTAAGTACTGTGAACGGTTTTTTTTAATCACATCTTGTGTAGCTGTGGGCTCAAATTCCTTGAGCTTAGTTATCAATCTTGGTTATGTTACCTATTGTTTGTCTCTGTCGTGATATTCTTTGCACCTTACGCGCCAAAGATAAGGTTCCGACTTATAAATTTCTATGAATTCTTCTAATATGGCATTGCGCTTGCGACTCACCATTTTCAAAAAGACGAGATAATGCTCGCGCGCGTGACCTTCCACCGTCGCAACAATAGGGATGATGACGGGGTACAATAAACGAAATTCTATTTAGTCCGTCAGTTAGATGATCAAAAAATAATGGACACGTATTTGTTTCTTTGGGCAATCAACCAAAAAATGACAAAGTTATAGCGCGTCAAAGTTTAAGAGTAGGGGCTCGTGACGTCACTTTTGAGTGAATTTTCCCTTATGTACGTTTGTACTCAAACGTGACGTCATGCGACTTTTCAAATCAATATATCTTTGCAATGTTAATATTATGTGAAAAAAGAAAAAATACGTGTCCAATACTTTTTGATAATCTACCTGATAAACGAAGAAAAAAAAATTAGTCATCATCCCTATTAAAACTTGAGAACTGTGACAGGCAAGTTTGCCGGACGCCACACACGCTCGTTTATGCTCGTGCGCAAACAACCGAGCGGCATAAAATATCAATTTTTGAATTTTTGTTTTTGTTCGGTTGAATGTACTACATGCACCGATAACTGTACAGTTTTATCATATACACGCTAGGGTTTGCCTGTCGTTTATGCATGTACGGCTAAAACCATCATGCAAAACCTTATGTGTATGGCCTCCATAAGGCGGAACGTGACATTTGTTCGTGGGTGCAGCCAGTGTTCATCGGTTAATAAGACGTTATCACGTCAATAGTTAAGTTTGACCCTCAACATTTGATAAAAATAATAACCTTCCATGTGTCTGTCTTTATTAAAGGACCTTCTATAAAAGAATGAACTGACTAAACATAGTTTATCGCCACAATCAAGCTCTTTGTACGTGATAAATAAGTTTTATGTATAAAGAGATCACTGTGCAACTATCTCAATACAATTTCCGGTGCAGTAAACAGAAAACATGTAGGTAAAAAAACCGTTACAGAACCACGGTACACATTAATTTAACACATAGATATAAAACATTATGAAGTTAAAAATAATATGAAGTAAATCTTAATATAGAAATTTCTTTATAGCTGTTAACGGGATTGTTACCTTGTACCTTGTGTTGGGAGCAGGTGCGAGTGTGAATAGTGAGAATGTGACCAGTGGTAGGTGTATCGAGCGCAATAAAAGACGACATTAGAGGGTAGACCGATATGTCTGCCAATAACATCTACCGGCAATTACTTCAGTTACTCCGTGATCATGGCGCTTGCAACAATGCCGAAATATCGGAGACTCATAATAAACAAGGTACATGGTAACAATCCCGTTAATAGCTATAATATTAGTGTTAGTGACCATGAAAGTTTAAAACAATATATAGAAATTTCTATTGTCCTTGTGTATGCAATGGAACTTCTTGTAAGCAACGGCTGTATTGCTTTTCCTGCAATTTTATGTGTGCATTCGTGTGAGTCGTCGCTATATAGTTTAGCTTATCTCGATCCAGCAGTTGCAGCTGTAGTCGAGTCCTAGGATGGGCAGGACAACATCAGTCGGGTAAGACAGTTACATTGTAAATGGCTGAATTATTAGAAAGAGCGTACGACAGATGTAATTTTTAAGAGCGGACGCAAGCTGAGACATTTGTGAAATAGGCATTTGAAAAAACTATTGCTGTAGTGACAGCAATAGTAACAATGAGTACAATGGCAATACCGTTATTAAATCTCCACACATGACGTCTTTTGTGGTGATAAAAAATTGTTTACTTTTGGCTTTTTTCGAGGGCTTCTAGTTTCATTGAAACTCAAGTTATCGAAAAAAGGAAGACATAGGAGCATAGAATGAGTAAAATTATATTTTATGTAAGAAAATCAATTCTTTAGTGATACAAATCAAGGAGGAATCAGTCGTGAACGTTTGTATGGAAAATACATTGCCCGCTTCCCCTCTTAATGCTGCGCAGGACCTATATACTAACCTAACCTAACCTAACCACTCGGCTGACACCACAGATTTAAAACGACAGTGAGGAGTAGGTACAGCTCGTGGTTTGCTAATTTTTTGGTACTCTTCCCCTACATCGTGGAGCCCTTATAACTCCATTCACTGCATAAAAAGACAATACAGAATAACACTTGGAAGGTTAAGAGTAATCTGGTAGAGTGTGTTCATGAGTAGCCTATCTTACTTAGGCTAGTATGGCACCTAAAATTTAGATCACAGACTAAAAACCGTAACAGTAGTTATGCTGCCATCTAGTGAATATTCGTTGTATCACTTTTAGACCAATCTAGTTCTATCAAAATGATCAATTTGAACTGGAAAAAATTATAAACTCAATATTGTAAAAAATTAGTTAGGCCTTTATGGTTCTCATGGCCTCAAATAATATATAATTATAGGGTTGAAAAACTGATGAGCCCTTTTAGTTCAACTTACAACAATACATGCATAATTGAAACATGCAAATATATATCAACTATTGAACTTTGTCGCGGAGATAATAATGACAATAATTAACGACAAATAAAATAAAGGGATCTGCTTCAATAACGATAACGTCGTCGTTATAAAAGCTATTCCATGATAAGTCCTATTTATATTATAAGAAAGTGTTATTGAAAAATAAAACAGTATATTTTAATATATTGACTTATATTTTAAAATATTCAAATACTATAACTGATTTTATTTGAAGCAAAAATTATAATTAATCATTATTATTACAACGACCTTCTTTATATTATTAACCAATGGAATGAAAAGATAGAATGAACAAAAATCATTGTATAATAGATACAAGGCGCGGATACCACGAATTCAAAAGCATCCTCACAATAAAAGTTTCTGTTTACAAAAGAGGGGACGCAACAAGGGGCTGGGAATTAATGTTGCCAGTATAAAACTGTTTACCCATTCAGTCGGGAGTTCCTTTATAAAATGGATAGGGATTAAATTTTAAAATTTCCTTATTTTTATTTTTAGAATTAAACAGCTATAAGTATTTTATTATATTAAGTTTTTTTTTAAATTCAAGATAAAACCACTAAAGTAATTTGTTATAAACAGGATTGCTACCATGTAGGTAACTTGTTTTTTACAAAACCCGAAACAAAAAAATCTCTCGGTCCAGGTTGTATGCTGCCTGATATTTATATTGGTGGAATTTTTCCAGTAAAATTGTGTTTAAAATAAGTTTTCTTACCTACTACCATTTACATACTTAATTACACAGCATAAGTACATGGTTAAAGCATTACAAGTGCAGGCAGACTCGCTAAACCAGTTGAGACAGTTGTACGGAATCTTACAATTTGCATTATACACATCATTACCGGACCATAACTAGTGTATTATTTACAATACACTAGAAGAAAATATTGCTTATTCTTGATAGTCTATCGTGCTATGTAGGTAATTTTAAAAGAAGTATTGAACTGGAAGTTGTGAATGAGTAGTAGAAAGTGGTAAAACCGAACGGCGAGCGAGTCACCCCACGACCTCGATAGCGGCGGCGGCAGTGGGCCCGCAACCTCTGCCATGGCCGCCCGACATCTGCGCGTGCGCGCCTTCGCGGTACTCGCGCTCGTGGCCGCCGCACACGCGCTCGTTGACGAGACTTTAGACGTGCTGTTCCTCAGCAAGGAGATCGGGGAGAAAATACTCAGTTCGTGGGATATTATAGGAAAATCCTTCAATGCAACCGGCGGCGTCGAACTCCCGATCCATCGGAGGCGGGAGAACCAGATTTTGGCGCGCCTGGCTCAGGTGTCGCGCGCTATCGAACGGCTGGAATTGACCATGGAACAGATCAGCGCTGTGGCCATGCTGCTGGCTAAAAGCGGGGGCGATACGAGGCTGGAGTTGAGGCTACACGAGATGGCCGATCTGCTGAGCAGGGTGTCGTCGGCTAACAGGCAGATGCGAGAATATGTCAGGTTGCAGGAAACCCTGGAGCGGAGTACGCTGGTAGATTTCGCCGAGTGGTGCGTCTCACACGACCCCAGTGCTCTGCCAGGGTTGCTCGAGCGCGTGCATTCGCTAGTCTCTCCCCCGCACCATCATTTACTGGGTCGGGGGATCCTGCAATTGCTTTTGACCGATCTCCAGGTTCGTGTGAAAATCTCCAATTCCCTTTACAGTTTCATAATCAACCCAACGGTAAACATTCATTGTTCGGACAAGTGTAGCAGTAAACATGGCTTGGAACATCCGATTTTTAATCTTAACATTCGTTTACTGGCATAACTGTTTAGAGTTTAAAACGTTGGAATAGTCTTTCAAATGTTTTTTTTAAAGTAGTCAGTTAAATGTATACAGATAATCCTTAAATTTGTAGGGGCAATGGGGCAATATACGTGGAAGCATCACAAAAGAAGCACCCATTATGGGCGAGTCGTAAAATAGAGTGGTTTGGAATAATCTCGCGTGTTTACGCCCGCCAACGTAACTACTAAAATTCATTACCATTATTGAAACTGTATAACGGATATTACGACCCGGCATTATTTTTTAACAAACAGACAGTAGTGCACACAATAGACAACAAACTTTCGTGATTTGGGTACAACGGGAATTGTAGACTTATCACAAATTAAACACAAAACTTGGTGCATCATAGTCTCTGTCTCTTGTGTTATCATATCACAATATGACTCAGATGAACCACAATGAATTATCATGTAATTTGCCGTATGCAAACAACACAGGTTTTGTGTCGCCTACTCGAGAGGTCCCGGTTCGAATCCCGGTGGGGGCAGATGTTCGTGTGATGAAGACGGGCATTTGTACTCCAGTCATGGATATTTAATACGTATTTCTTTATAAATATCCTTATATATGCATTCTATCCGTTACCCTAGTATCTCATAACACAAGCCTACAGTTCTTACTTTGGGGCTAGGCTAATTGGTGGGTGTTGTAAAAAAATGTGTTCTAGGTACACCAAAACCCCTCGACCGTAGCATTGCGATGACGTTCGCGTTCATTGTATACTTATCTATCCGTATAAAGTTTATTTGACATGAACTTCAACTATGTAAAGCATAGGTTTTTTACAGTTTTAAGTATTCAGGGATATCATAAGTTTTGTTATCACCTAACACTGGAGTTTTTCAACACAAATTTAACTTAAATTTAATTAAAATTGAAAAGTTCAAACACCTTTGCTTAAACGTGATAAAAGAAAATATCTGTGATTCATTCGCAAAAAAAATATCAAACACTACATTGTAAGGCGCAAAAAGTTGTTAATTTATTCAAAAGCTTTTTGTGCTGGTAATTTTCAAGCCTACCTATAAAAAACTATAGTAAAAAATAATTTCAAGTCTTGTTTTGCAAATATGAAGAAGCGTGTGCACCAAGGGACTAGGTACTTTTAATTTAAGTTTAGTATGAGACCTGTATTTAGGTCTCATTGAAAAATCTAAAAAAACATGCATCATTTAGTCAAGCTGCAAGATTTATCCGTTGTTATTTTATATTATCTTTATGAAATGTATAATTTTTTCAAAGGCTTTCTTACTGTAACCACTAATAAATCAAATTGATTATTATTAACAAAATAATATATGTAAGTATTAAATATATTTAAAATCGGTCAAAGTTCAAAAACTCTGTCCATTTACACTTAAGACGTTTACCCGAATTCCATTGGCACTCGTATACGGGCTAACGACCAAATGTTATCGCGCCATTATAGAGATTGTACAAAAAAAAATTGATTAACGCTTGATGATGATCTAAAATAGTTTCCGAATCTACCCAATCAGCAGTTAGACATAGATAGCTTCTGTCTATGTAAGTTTTCCGAATACTTCTCTCACAGTGCATCAGTGGAGACGGTACAAATTGAACAAAATGAAATAATGGCAGTTCCAGTTTCCCTCTGTGCCAAATGGGCGGTGTCTTACAATGCAAAGTATCAAGTCACCGACACAGACACAATAGAGTTTACAGTGTCGATTGATTAAGTTCATTGTCACGCGAATAAATGGCACCAGAGCGGAGACAGACATGCTGGCCGAGTGCCGCGAACGAACAATGTATTGCTGCACTTCACATAGCGAATAATATTCGAATTCGCCATTTTTGCAGGCCGGCAAGGTGAGGATGATTGGTGTAGCAGTTTATAACTGCTATACCAGCTATCTTCGCGTTTGGACTTTATTACCACTTAACATCAGGTGGGGTAGAGTCATTTGCCTACCTTGCTTGATATAAAAAAAATGTAATTTTGACAGCAGAGGCTCAATCACGAATTTTGATATATACCGTAATCGTATCGTCATCATCAAATGTTGTATGGAAAAGGCTAGTTTGTTCTTACGTCCGATAGGGGTGCTGTTTAGCTTACATAGAAACTTTAACGATACGGATCTCTCAAAATTCTTGCTTGGGCCTCGAGTTGTGCTTAACATTATCTGCAGGGAATGGATGTGAAATGTCGGCATGAAATAACTGCGCATGTGTAACGTGCGGTGACTCAGTGCAAGGGTCATCAACTCCCCGACATCCCGGCCAGGATGTGCCGTGATCTCGTCCATATTGATTTGACAAGGGATAAAATTTTTCAAGGATACTGGGATAATTTAGTGAGCCATAACAATGCGTTATTTTCCAAGAATAACGTGATTTCAGCACTTTATAGTTTCCAATTGCAATGGAATTAGTCACTTATAAGTACTACTTCCTTATATAAGTCAATTCGGTGTAATGTAAAGTTTTTTGTAAAACAATGTGGTGCGGTACATAACTTGGTATATTTTTTACCAGTTTGGATTGGCAAAATTGCATTTTTATATTTAACAGCCATTACCAATATCAATTTTAGTTTACTTTTTCTGTATTCTTTTATAGAAATGTAGAGTTCCGAATTTTGCAGTATTTAGTTTACATTAAGTGTAACTATGTACCTAACCCATACACCACACACTGCGCCTGTCCCCTTGAGGGGTGAGCGGAAATAATTGATCTTCACTTTGACGGTCCTGCCTGACACACCCTCTTTCAATTTCGTTTATCATCAATTACCGGGGCAGATATGCTGGGGCATAAAGCAAAATACTGGCAACATTACATTATGAGCAGAATCGAACTTAAATATTAATAAACTAGAGGACACAGAAAACATAAAATGGTACAAGCTAGGGAACAAATTTAAAAACGTTTTGTCATAACATAACCTTTGATCTAATTTACAAAAAAAAACAATTATTAAGATAACATCGAGAGATTACTTTTGTTGCGAAGAACATAAATAAAGCAATAGCAAATGAGAGGCTGTATCGGAAATCAGATATTCGACAGTCGAAGTCGTGGTAGCAGCCACTGGCGAAGAATAATTAGATCAATTGTATCCGCATTCGCCCTTGGGAAGTAGGCGTGACGATAAGTTCATATGTAAATAGATCACCTACATTAAAATTAAGAACATGACACAGATAAGGTCATAAACTGAGAAACAGTTAAGCAGCCTGGCAAATGATAACAAGAAATCGACACATGAAGATCATCACAAATAAGCTTTAGCATTAGTAATAGGAACCTTAGCATTTCGCAGCATAAACAATCCACTTACTTATCTAGTTACCGGTTCACGTGAATGAACTCCATGATTACCATGGACGAAGATATCATTGTAACGTTACATAAGCCTGGCAGTCATATTCAATTACGTGTAAAAAGATGCATGAAGTTACTTTAAAAGTATGTTTCTGATATTCAAGAAGCGAATTTCACTTTATTAGTTACTAATAAAACTTTCACTTGAAGCTCTTTCGCTACGAGACTTTTTTTTCTTTTTTTTTACATTACTTAAAGCTTTTATTATTATATATGTGTACAGAAAATCAACAATATTTAAATACAAATTTACTTAACCTACTTATAAATAACATCTTATTTACAAAATTAAAAATAAGTCACCCCCAGTGCCGCCGTCAGGGATGGTGCCCACTAGGCTGGCAGCATTGCCGCGTTGGATGGCAAGGCTGATCCGTTGACCAAGATAGCTGCCAGCCTTTTGATCACCAGTAACTTCCGTGAGTCTCTTTTAAGTTGATTAAAGTTTATATAATATATGATAAGTTAAATTATCAAGTTTTTAATTTAATTAACATTCCTTAGTACGGTTGCAAATTGTAGTAAATGGGTTTACGTTAAACTTGGAAGCTCTGTAACCCAATCAGTGAGTAAGAAGCACTTTATTTTGGTTTATTTTTATCACGATGCATCAAGTCACGTGAATGTTCTACATTTGCGATATAATTTACATGGCTTTACTCTTTTTCATTCTTCATTCGCTCGCGTGACGATTTATAAATGAGTTTTTACTATTATTGCAAGCTTAATATTTTTTTGGAATGGTTGAAAGAAAACATCATCAAAATCTTTCTTTCCGTTCAATCGCCATGATGTGACACTTGAAAAACCGTTCCGTTCAGTGTTGAGATCATTCGCATATAGTGAATCATCAAAAACCGCAAACGAAACAAAGAAAGAAGCGCACAAAACTGTGTTGTTCCTTGTTATTGTGCTCTATTTAGGTATGACCTATAGCAAAAGACCAACTTTCAGTGTGATCCAGTCTATGGCGAAATTTTAATTTCTAAGAGCTTTAAATCAAACTTTATATAAAGGTTAAAACAAATCCATAACTTCATTAACAATATTCTTTTATCAAGTTTAAATTGTATTTTATCATCAATTTAGTATACGAAAGACAAGTTATTTTAGAAAACAAATATTTGGCACAAAAAAACCTACTATCAAGTTATTCCAATTTAAAGTACCTATTAATAACAAACAAAAGTCGGGTATAGGATCCATCTGGGTCCAAATATGAGAATGTCTTATTGGAGTTAATGTTGTCACAAGTAATAAATTAAAAGCAATTGTCAAGAGATTTCAAAATGAGTATTTGCTATCTACGTCTATGAGGCGTTGATAACTGAATTGAGCATTAAGCACGTAGGTATGTCAAATAAGCACATAGCGTACATGGAAACAGAATGCGATCATTTATTTACACTGTTAATAAGATATCGAGTTGAAGATAATTTAAAATAAAATAGAAATACTTCTCAAATAGTTTCAAGACCCCAATAGCC